CTAACACATGGTTTCCTGGCTGCCTAGAGCTTAATGGAATCTGCGTATGAGATGATAGAGAAGGTGTAGAGGTGTAGCACGAAAACAATATGGTCACTTCTGGAACGCCCCTACACTTTCCAAATTAAGACGTCGCACCTTTTCTCCATGGAATACCGACGCCATCGCCGAAGTCGTCTCTACAGCAAACACCTCCAGTTAATTTTGCAGCTATGCATATTCGGTCACACGCATTCTTAGGTATATAGCTGCATACCGGTTAATGTTATTGCAACGCGAAATGCATGCATCTATCAGTTTTCGTCTTCTTACCGATCTTTACAAATTTCTGCAAGGTACAAACTGACTTAAACATCCCAAGGGGTTAATTTGGAAGTGAGTTGCAGCAGTTCTTCCATCTCAACGTGGACACGATGACACTTGGCCACGGGTGGAAATTATTTAATTCGAGAACACTCCTTCCCGTCTGCGAACTGCTCTGTACTCCTGGTCAGTAAAATAGTGGGTCTGTCTGTCGGAACAATTTATCGATTGGTAGACAACAAAGTTTCAAGCGCTTGTCAGACACATACCTAATGTCTTTGCATGGTCATAATGCTCTCATTTTAACGGCGATGCTCCCAAGAAGTGACGTCAATCGAGAGCTAACACCCACCTAGCAATACTTCGTTACCGATGGGGCTGACAGGGGCCCTCTCTACTGCTCTCAACACCCAAAAGATGCCCACTGAATCCTAAGGAATGAAACGAACTCATGAAATGTTAACGGAGAAAGCGGAATTTAAACGTGAAAAGACAGTAAGGAGTAAGCCACGTGTTAGCTCTCCTTTGCTGACAGTGGCCAAATAAGTAATATGTTTTCAATAAAGTTTTGAGGGTAATAATGGATATATATATATATATTATACCACGCGCCGGGTGAAGGGTTGTTAAGATATGTGGCTCGGGTGTACCCATTTCCCGGAGATAGACTTTACCTCCGGCCAAGCTCGCAGTCAGCACAGCCTTGAGTTTCTTGCCAGTGTTCTAGAACATGGGCTAACGGAACACGTCCAGCAGTACACTCGGTGGCGAGACGGTCAGAACCCGTCGAAGCTCGACTTGCTGCTCACCAACGAGCCACATCTAATTGACAACGTTAAGTTGAGCACCCCAGTTGGTGCAAGTGATCATGCAGTTATCAGTTTGCTTGTGGTGGCGAACGTCACGCTCAACGCTAAGGCACTGCTCATCAGGCTTAACTTTCGTCGAGCGGACTATGACGCGATCAAAGATTTCCTCTCACGGGTCGACTGGTCCCTGGCAGCAGAAACCCCCACAGTCGACGACCACTGAAACTACATCGCCGCTCACATCCACGACGCAATTAGGGTACACGTCCCCACAGTGCGCGCTTATGCGCCGAAACGCAACAGGCAAATTCAGCCTGCTACGCTTAGGCTGAACAGGAAGAAGAAGGCCCTCTGGGACAGATTCTTACTTTTTGGCGACTCTGATTCGCGAGCACAACACTGTAGAGTGCGAAATTCCTGTATAGCAGCTGTTCGCCAAGACAGAAAAGCGTACCAGCTCGCTAAAAGCTTCGCCAATAACCCCAAGGTCTTCTTTAAGCACATAGCGTCTCTCACTAAATCGCACGCTGCCGTTGGCAGCCTGCTCAGATCCGTAGGCAATACCCCAACGTCGGACAAAGAAGCTGCGGAATTGCTGAAGACTCAGTACGAGTCCGTTTGCGGCACCTTCGCACGCAGTACAATAGAAGGCGCTAATTTTACCCCCATCGCTGCCAGACATCCCGTGCAGTTTACATCAGAGAAAGCCCTGGAGAAATTAAAAAATTAAGGCCAGACAAATCGCCGGGTTTGGATGGGATCCCTCCCATTTTTCTACGAGAGTGCGCTACGGTACTGGCCGAGCCGCTTGCCTTACTGTACAGCCGCTCCTACACCAGTGCCGAATACCCGAATGCTTGGAAGCAAGGGTGCATAACGCCTATATACAAGGGCGGTCACAGGACAAACCCCTCTAATTATCGCCCGATAGCACTGCTTCCCACTGCTTCCAAAGTAATGGAGAGTATCATAGACGATTTCTTGCGCTGCCATTTAAAAACTCTGTCCTTAATAGCCCCGGAACAGCACGGGTTCCGAAGGGCTCATTCGTGCACCACGAATCTTCTCGCAGCCCTTGATTCCTGGACTGCAGAGGCAGACAATCATACTCCAACTGACGTGGTTTACGTGGATTTCTCAAAAGCATTCGACCGGGTCAATCACGCACTGCTGTTGAGTAAACTGCCGAGTTTGGGGATCGACCCGCAAACAATCTGCTGGCTAAGTACCTACCTGTCTGGCCGCACCTACAGAGTTCGTGTAAACGGCGCACTCACCAGCGCTCTGGCTGAAACGACCGGGGTGCCCCAGGGATCCATCCTCGTGCCCCTGCTGTTCAATTTGTTCATCAACGACCTCCCATCCTGCATCAGCAGCCACATACTGCTTTATGCGGACGACGCTAAGATATGGCGACCTATCCGCAGGCCAAGTGATCAGGCACTTCTCCAGACAGATATCGATGCTGCTTATTCTTGGGCCTCGAAAAATTCGCTCCCGTTTAACCTCGACAAGTGCAAAGTCATGCACATTGGGCAAGGTGTGGCTAATCCTTACAATATCGGCGATGGGCATCTTAAAGCCACACTCCAGAAACGCGACCTGGGGACCATAATATCCGCCGACCCGAGCCCGAGCGCCCATGTAGCTCTACTGGCGCGAAAGGCTAGCGTTGGCCTGGCCCTCCTTGGACGTGCACTAGGGTCTTTCCCTAGAGAGACATTTGTCCGCCTCTATAGCACTTTAGTACGTCCGCTGCTGGAGTACAGCATACTTGTCCAGCCGCCGTACCTGAAGAAGGACGAGGCCATGCTGGAAACTGTACAGCGCAGAGCCACTAAGAGAGTGGACGTACTATCCCACTTCTCGTATGAGGAGCGTCTGGCGGCCCTTAACCTCTTCCCGTTGAAATATCGCAGGCTTCGTGGCGACCTTAGCTTATTCCGTCCTGACTAATAACAGGCACCCAAACGCAGGATTGCTGGTCCGCGCCCGCACAAATCATCTTCGAGGGCACTCACTCAAACTGATGACTCGTAGCAGTCGCCTTCTGTGCCGAAGAAACAGTCTCAGTGTGCGTATTGCCTTCGCTTGGAACGCCCTCCCTGAAGTTGTTGTCTCAGCGCCCAATACGGAGGCCTTCAAACAGCGCCTAGACGCTTGGCTCTTACCTCGCTGGTCTTCCACGTTGCTAAGATCTGGCCATTTGCCAAGCTAACACGCGGCGCTTCTATCATTTTGCTTCTATCCAACTTTACCGAATTTACCTACACCACTCTCTTGTTCCAGGTATCCACGTTCCCACAGTCAACTCGCTGAATTCTTGTGCTGAACGCCACTACTGCGTCGAGACCCACAACATCTGGTACCTACCGACGAGATCAGGACCTTGCCGTAAGATCCCGAGGCAGAATCACCGAAAAGCTACGCTTACTCGTTCTGCTTCATTTCTTTTTGCAGAGGCAAGGAGAGGCGATCAAAAGTCGAAGTGCCGGGGGCTCTGTTTCGCTTACCGGTACAAGAAGCTGGACGCTCGTTAGGCGAAACCCTGTATCGTCCACGGATTTTGTCCTGACCTGACCTGACCTGCGCAAACCCGTGAAACCCATTACCAACTAGCAAGGATTCGGAGTGGCTTATCAGATTCAGATTCAGATGGACTGGAACGATAGGAAAATCCCTTGAGTGTTCCTTCTTGAGCAAATCGTTGAGCCAGGAAATGATAAGGTGTTAGTTCTTGATAGATCTAAAACGAAACACCCGAAAAACACCCTGATCAACCAACTACTGCCCACGTTCCCTGCACTAGCAGTCCGCGCTGTGTAGGTTACGTGAAGTAAGAAAGAAGTAGAAAGTAAATGAAAAGATAAAGGGGAATGAAAGTCATTGAAATGAAGGATAACACCAAAGAGTGAAGATAATGACAGAATAAGAACTGAAAGTTTGAAGATGGATTTGGTCAGGAGAAGGGAAAGGTTTCGTGTTGCCACCCAAGAGCGTCTAACTGACGCTCGAAACCCTTAACCGTAGGTTCACTGACTACATTTTCTGGAAGCGAGTTCCAGCGCTCGATAACTCTACGCGATAACCGAGTTTCCGCCCTGATCCCGTCAGAACGCGGCTTGTGTAGCTTCATGGGATGACCGCGAAGACAAGGCAACCTAGCCGGGCTAAACAGCCAGCGCAAGTCCGGCCCAACCTTCCCTGTTAAAATGCGGTAAGTAAGGATTAGGTCTCCTCGAAGCCGTCGGTAGTGCATTGAATACATACCCAAGCTAAGTAGACGCTCGGGGTACGATTGCCCCCGTAACCCCTCGACCAATTTGGTACCTACTCTCAAAACCCTCTCAAGCTCCATTTTGTCCCGAACAAGGCAGGGCGCGCAAGCCTGGACGCAGTATTCCAGATGGGGCCGAACGAAAGCTGAGAATAGCTTCACAAATATGTCGGCAGTTAAGACACCGAAAGAACGGCGTATTAACCATAACATTCTGAAACCCCTACTAGCGGCCTTCTTCCAGTTGTCACCAGAATGCAAAGACGAGGAATGTACGACACCTAGATCTATCTGGTTGGAGACAAGGGGGAGTTCGACCCCACCGAGTACGTAGCTCGAAGGCGGGAAAGTTGCTCCTATACGAAGGACAGAACACTTAGCCTGATTTATGGGCAGTAGCCACAAAGTAGACCAGTCCCAGAGTCTGTCCAGTGCACGCTGTATGGCCTCAGAACCCCCAGGAACATTTACAACATTCCATAGCTTAAGGTCATCAGCAAACAATAAGGATGATACCCCAAGCTCTCCCATCTTAACAATACTCTGAAGTAGTAGCACCTACGGAAATCTAATATCCTTCTATAACAACTAAACGAATACCACCTTAAAATTTTGTTGCTAATCACAGTCACAGTGAGGTTGAACTATACTTTCCGGTTGCTCGTATCTTTCCGCGTTGTTGCCTGGAATGTCTCGATTGCTCATTCTCTTCCTACTGTTCTTCGTTTATCAGACAAGTAAATGCTTTTTGTTTTCCATAAACACGTTAAAGGTCCCCAGTATTTTGTTCTTGGTCAATCTGTTGCTTCCTGGCCGTATATTGTTAAGAATGGTTCTTCAAACAATGTCTGTCTGATGGCCGAAGTGGATGTTCACCTGCGCGTAGAATACTTGACGACAGTAAGTTTATCGTTTGAAGCGTTTACAAGCATTTTCTTCATTCCTTGGTATTTTATTGTTTACCGTAGTCCCAGTATGGGTAATCTGAAATAACATCGTGAGTCTCGTAGTACTTTACATGTCTACTCCATTGGAAATTCTGAACCTACCTTAAACGGTATACGCGAGCATCTGCCGAATTTTGCCTAGTCACCTTGCCGACGGGAGTTTCAGATGGGTTTCCGCTGGGCACCGGAGCTGAGTCCATATTAGACGTTTATCGGGCTTAAGTCGGACACCGAAAATCGCAGTAAACTGATTTTGTGATCCGACGAAGCCAATGTTGACGCAACCAGCCCTACAGTTTGTGTTGCTATGCGCATACACACATTCACGCTGAAGATGGTGCATTCACGGGATAGTCCTTTTGTCCCAGTGCTGCTTCAACTTGTACTACTGCAACTCATCATCATACACGTTAGCTAGAGGTGGGGAACACCTCAGCTACTGTACCACGATTAGTAAACATACTTCAATATAACGAAGGTGTTCAGGTTCAAGTGAGACAGGTACAGTCGGTTGGATTTCCGGGGGCTCTTACGGGAGCGCGTTTTTGAGCCATGGTAATACTCATCCGTGGTAACTAAGAAAATCATATATGTACGCGCGAATCACGCCACTTCAGCCAAGTACTATGCACCTGACACTCATTAGCATATAGCGGAATCGTTCGGCCTTAGGGAATAGTCTGAAAAAGACGAATATATGGGCAAGATAGACGTTTATTATCGAAACGCTAGCTGAAGGCACCGTAAAATGGTTCTAGCTAGATGGAAGGTGTAGTTACCAGTCGAGACGCAGCGAACGCTCTTCGAAGCGGAAAGCCGGCAGCGCGCGAAATACGATTCTTCTAGTTGACTTAAACATATGTACACATCATTCGAACAGGCAAGCTCCCTAAGGTATTTGAGTACAAAATGATATTGTTTAACGTATTTTTGCACCGACAAACATTAGGATCTGCAGATCATTACACATCCTTTCTTCTAGAAGGAAACCGTGAGTGACCCATCTACGTGAGGACTGTCCGTCGCGGGGCAGCCTTATGCGAGACCAGACGGTGAAACCTGATGCAGCTGCTAGGGGAGAAACAGTCGATCGGACCCTAGTCGGCTCCCACCCGTGTCCTCCCTTAAGGTGCCGATGGAAAAGAAGGAGAACGTTCGTAGCATACAATCACTTGTGTTTGACCACGAGTGTGGTCTCCGGTTCGCGACTTGGAAAGGAAAAGTAACTGGGGTGGTCAGGCATGCAGATGAGATGCCAGCAACAAACGGGTAAGGTACTTACGGAATAGTAGCGAGAAGTAAAAAAACATTTTTTATCAGTTTCAAATCGTTCTTTCGTTCCTTCTGCTTTTCAAAACTTTCAGCGGCTTTTTTGGTTTTCTAAACATTTTGCGCTTTTTTGCGGTTTTCAAAGCGTACGGCCGAGAATGAAAACCTAAATACGCTGTTGGATTCAAAAATGTTAAATCAACCTTTTAGGGAACCTGTCGGCCACTGAACCCGATGGCCAGACCTAATAACCTTTTTAGGCTTGGCGGAGTCGTAGGGCTCGGGATGCTGGTTTCCGGTTGTGGTGTTGCTGTCTGCAGGCGTTTCCTCCACCATCGGTTGGGTCGATTCATCGGAGGACTGGGGACTGGAGTCGTCGTTTGACGTGAGCAACTGAGGCCCTCGAACGAGACAGTTTCGCGCTTACCATTGCGTTCGATGACGAAGTAGCGATCCTTACGTTGCCGGACCTTGATCGGACCTTCCTAAAGTCGTTCGAGTGGTCTGCGTGGACCATCGATGCGCATGAAAACGAACGGGCAGTGGTGAAGGTCTTTGGGAACATAAGACGCTATCCTGTCCCGTATTTCGGTCGTTTTCTTGCGGCGCATGCTCGTGACCAACTGCTGAGCGTAGTGCGCGTCGTAGTGAGGAATGTTCGGGCTTTCGGAGAACAAGTCCTCTGGTATTCGGAGGGGTTGTCCATAAACCAAATCGGCGCTGGACGTTTCGAGATCGGCTTTCAGTGCCGATCGAATTCCTAGTAGTACCATTGGTAAAACTTTCACCAACTAAGTGCATTGGCGGCACTTAGGAAGGCTTTAAGCTGTCGGTGGAAACGTTCTACGATTCCGTTCACCTGAGGATGGTAGGCAGTTCATCGTCATCAACAGCAGTACATCAGCCATTTGAACTGATGCGTCGCTGCCACACAACCATGAGGACCTATGAAATAAAGAATAAGAAGAGGGAGAGAAGGGGGACTTACCTGAAAACCTTAACTCCCTAAGGAGACGTTCAGAGTCAAGGCATGTACACCTTGCGTAGGCAACATTCCGTCACAAACAGCTGGTTATCGAGCAAAGATAAGGCGGCATCGGCGAGACAGCTTCCTTTCGGCTTTCACTGCCACGCGTCATAATCAGCCATTACCCCGCAGATAACTCAGCACCAAACAGACTTTAAACAGGCAATCCGATTAGGAGACGGCAGCAGACGCGCCACTGGTGTCGGTTGCGAGCCATGTCCTGTAAAGTCTCGAGCCAAGTACAAGGTGAGTCACGTGGACTCCAACCGGGAAAGCGAGACGGACCAACGCCACCCAGTTTGGTCCTCAGTGAATTCATTTCCCGCTGCCAAGTCAACTTCTGTCCGAGCCTTTGCGCCATCCTACACCTGGTAGACTGAACAAGGCTTTCCTAGGTAATCGGTGACCAGGCATACGTAGCACGTGCCCGAGCCAACGCAACTTATTCAGTGCTATCTGTTGTTCTAGGGAGCTAGCATGTTTATCACTACCTGGTCCTCGCTTACGCACATCATCGTTACGGACACGCTGGTGCGATCCAAATCCGGCAATGCTTCGCATACAACGATGATCAAAGACTTGAAGGCGCCTCAGATCTTCAGAAAGAAGGGGCCAAGTCTCACTACCATAGACCGGAACAGTCCTCACTGTGGCCTTGTATACCCGGCCTTTCAGACGAAGGGAAGTTCCCTTCTGTCTCCCAAGACGCCGCAGCTTCAATAGGGCATTTTTATCCTTTGCAATGCGTGAGCTCACCTCAGTTTCTATGCGCCCGTCGTTGCTGATGCAGCTGCCAAGATAAGTGAATTGATCAATCACCTCGAGTTCCTCGTTAGCAAGCGTCAAGGGGTCATAAAGTGGCTGGTGGTCCTGCAGCAACACTTTGCACTTTGAACGTGCGAAGTGCATACCGAATAATGGGACCACTCTAGATAGGCTATTCAGGGTTGATAGTGCCGCCTAAACATTGTCGAAAAGCGAGACGATATCGTCCGCATAATCTAGATCAACTAACCTTTCACGAGGCAGCACTTCAACGCCTACGTCGTTAGATTCCACAAGGGAACACTCCATGATAGAATTCATGACAAATTGAACAAAAACGGGGAAATCGGACAACTCTGACGAACGCCACTTGTAGTCGGAAAGCTATCCGATAGGACATCATAGACCCTGACGCGGCCTGTAGTGTTCGAGTATAGAGCACGAAGGATGTTCACATGTTTCTTGGGAACACCTTTTCGCGCAAGTAATTCGAACAGAATCGATCGATCGACTGAATCGAGCGCACTCTTGAAATATAGGAACACAGCTATTGTCGGTCTGCGGTATGCGTGGCGCTGCTCTAGCACCTGCCGCAAAGTGAACATATGGTCTATACAGCCACGTCCTGGGCGAAAACCGGCCTGCTCTTCCCTAATCTGAGATTCCCGTTCTGCAGTGAGGCGACGAACGATAATCGAGGCCAATAGTTTTGTCACAACTGGCGTTAGGCTAATACCCCTGTGGTTAGCACAGTCTGTGCGACTGCCCTTTTTGTATATTGCCACTATAATCGATTCCCTCCAGTTAGCCGGAACACTCTGTTCGTTCCAGATACGTTCGAACAGGGAGGTCAGTGCCCTGCAGACGACCTCACCTCCATCCTTAAATAGTGCAGGTGGGAGGGAATCCGGGCCGGCGGCACGAAAACGATTGAGGGCTGTGATCGCGTTTCGGACCTCGGCCTCCGACGGAGGCTCTAAACTAACCGTCCATGGCACGTCCTGCATCACCTGAGTAGGAAGAGGTCCGGGAGCAGGAGGCCAGCTGAACTGATCTTCAAAGTGTTCAGCCCAACGAGCCATACGGTGCTCCGTATTGTGTATCAGCGCACCCGCGCTGTATCTGATTGTCTAACTGACGCCTGGTTTTCTGGGACCAGTGGTGCGGATTAGCTGGAAGAGCTTGCGGTAATTGCCTACTGCTCCTGCCTCCTCCATTTCTTGAGCCCGACTGGTCCACCAGGCTTCCTTGTCAGCACGTAGGCTCCGCTTTAGTTCACGCCTAATAGCCCGTCTGGTCACATTGTGTCTTCTTGTGTCTTCTAGCTTCCAACAGGTTCACAGACCTCTCGGATATCCAGTGACTGGTGCGGTGACGATTGATAGTGCCACAAACAGATGCTCCTGCGTCGTGCATAGCGGCCAAGATCCTATTCCACTGAAGTTCAGTGTCATTTGGACAAGACAGCGAGAGTTCGCTATGCAGTGCTTCTTGATAGGCATGCCTTACCGAGGACTGAGACAATTTCTCCGTTGCCAATCGTAGGGGAGGCTTTGTGCGCCTTCCGCTAAAGTTCATGGAGAAACGACAGCGCACCAAGGCATGATCAGAGTCGACACAGGTACTCCAGTACGAGCGGCAATCCAGGATGGAACCGCGCCACCTGTAACTTATGGCTATGTGGTCAATTTGGGTCCATCATTGGCCAGCTACAGGTGGACGCCAAGTGGCACTTCGGCGCCCATTGTGTCTAAAAGCAGTGCTAGTAAGAAACAACTGGTGCTCCGCACACAGTTGCAGCAGACGCTCGCCGTTGTCAGTCCGTTCGGAGTTAAGTCCATAATTACCACCCAGCTGAGCTTCTGAAGAGCTCAGACGCCCTACTTGTGCAT